AATAATAAAAAATTTAAAATAATATGGTTACATAAAGATGTACCCCTTAGCATAATACTTTTTGAAACACTTTTTGATTTTTATGATGGTATTTAGTTTGGGATAGGAGCCTATCAGCACGGCATATTTTGCCTTGGGAATCTTTGTCCACTCTTCCTTGCAAAAGTGTTCCAAATATGTCAAATTGTAAAGGCATCTCAAGTGCACAACTTTCTTCAAATCAGGCCATAGATTTCAAATTGGATTCAGTTCCGGGCTCTGACTGGGCCATTCTGAAATGTTGATCTTCTTCTGGTAAAGCCATTCTTTTGCAATTTGGAAGTATGCTTTGGGTCATTGTCATGTTGAAAAGTGAAAATTCTCTTCATCTTCAGCATTTTAGCAGAGGATTGAAGGTTTTGTGCCAAAAATTGTCTGATATTTGGAGGTATTCATAATTCCCTCCACCTTGACTAAAGCCTTAGTTCTAGCTGAAGAAAAACAGCCCCAAAGCTCAATGTTGCCATCATCATTCTTCATATGGATACGATGTACTCTTGGTGATGAAGTCTTGTTTTTGATCCAGACTTAATTTTTGGAATTATGGCCAAAATGTTCAACCTTGGTCTCATAGAATAACACTTTTTCTCATATGCTTTTGTCAGACTTGATGTAGGTATAAATGTAGCTGGGTTTCTATGTTTTTCTTTGTAAGAATATAGAAGATAGTTGTCACATGTAGCACACAACCATTACTTGTCAGAAATTCCCACAGCTGCTTTAATGTTGTGGTAGCCATCTTGGCAGTACCTCAGACCAATTTTCTTCATGTTTTTTTCATCAATTTTGGAGCGACATCTAGTTCTTGGTAACGTTGTGCCATATTTTATCCGCTTGTTGATGATAGTTTTCACTGTGTTCTATGGCATATCTGATGCACTGGGAATTTTTTTGTATCCTTCTCCTGACTGATACCTTCCAACAATGAGATTCTATTGATGCTTTGTAAATTCTCTGTAGACCATGGATTTTACTGTAGGAGACAACTGCGCAAATGTCACAAAAAAAATCCTCAACTTTATATGGCCTTGAACCAGTAGTGAAATCTAAAAAATTTTTCCTACCAGTTCTGTGGGTGTGGTTTGGTGGGCATGGCTTAGTGGGGTCATGTGACTAGTTGGGCATGGCTATGTAGTCATGTAACCGGGGGTCAAAAGACAGAAACTCACTTTAACAATGTCCTGCTGGAGCAGGGGGTTGGACTAAATGACCTCCAGATCCCTTCCAGCCCTGGATTGCTGTGCTCTTTCAAGGTATCCTCTGAAGCTGCGTCAGTGCCAGGTTTGTTGTCCTTCCTTCTTCTCCTTTTTCCCTCCCTCCCTCCCTTTCTTTTTCTTTCTTTCTTTTCCTTTCTTTCTCCTCTCTCTCTCCCTTCCTTCCTTTCTTTTTCTTTTTCTTTCTTTTGTTTCTCCCTTCCCTTCCCTCTTTCTTTCTCCCCTCCCTCCCTCTTCCTTCCTTCCTTCCTCTTTCTTTCTTTCTTTCTTTCTTTCTTTCTTTCTTTCTTTCTCAGCACCCTTCACACACACAGCCCCTGTTTTTGGTCTAGCAGGCCTTAGAGAAGCCTCCTGGGAGCAAAATGGATCCTCCCCACCCCACCCCACCCATTTTTGGCCTACCAGGGCTCAGGGAAGCCTCCTGGGAGCAAAAACAGATCCACCACCACCACACCTGTTTTTGGCCTAGCAGGCCTCAGGGAAGCCTCCTGGGAGCAAAAATGGACCCAATAGGTAGTAAAAAAAATGCTTTAAAAAGTAAAAAAAAAAGTTCTGAGGATTGAGTGGCACAGCTGATTGTCACAGCTGATTGTCAGATCCTCTTTTTTTACTTTTTTAAAGCATTTTTTTAACTACCTATTGTCTGAATGGGTAGTAAAAAAAAATGCTTTAAAAAAGTTATAAAAAAAAAGTTCAGACAATCAGCTATGCCACGCGATTGTCGGAATTTTTTTTTTACTTTTTAAAGCATTTTTTACCGGTTCGGGACAACCGCCCTGAACCAGTAGCATTTCACCCCTGCCTTGAACAGAGTCAGTTTAATTGATGATAGATGTATTGATTACTACCATATTTTTTGGACTATAAGACGCATCGGACAATAAGACGCATCTACCATTTTTGGTGAGGAAAACAAGAAAAAAAAATCTGCCTTTGTATCCCAGCAATTTTGCCTCGTTGCAGCAAACAGCAAACAGCCTGCTTTACTTTCATTTTCAGAATAGCTTGATTAGCACAAGGAAAAACAAATCTGCTCCAGCAATTTACCTCCTTGCAGCAAGCAGCAGAGGCCCCGTGCAAAACAGCTGAGAGCAAAACATCTGAGAAGAAGGCCAATCCAATCAACTTGTGCGAATTAGGCTGTGCTGAAGCTGAAAGGAACTGTTTCTTCTTGCTGCTTGCTGCAAGGAGATAACTGCTGGGAGGCAGAGGCCAAAGGGTGGGGGCCAATGGATGGGCGGGGCTACATTCAGTGTAGAAGACGCACCTAAATTTTCACCCCGTTTTAGGGGGAGGAAAGATGCATCTTATACTCCGAAAAATACGGTATTTATAATTAATTTGAATATGATTGGTGAATTCTGATCACAGCCACATCCCTGCTTATAAGAAGGGGTGCACACTTATGCAGCCACATTATTCTATTTTTTAATTATAATTTTCCCCTTAAAAAATTAACTTTGTGTTTCAATTGAATTATACAGCTTATATTTTATATTAAAGCTGGAAAAAATTCTGAACTGATTTCATTTGGTATGATTTTTTACATCTCAAAAACCTGGCATTTTAACAGGGGTGTGTAGACTTTTTATATCCACTGGAAAACTATGAGTTCACATAGTTACAGACTTAAATCTCAGAGAGAACATGTCCTTTTTTAATATCACCTTTTCTTAGCCTGATATTCATTCGTATATTTAAAATTGTTGTCATACTTTTCCTCATTGATTTTTGCCCCAAGAATAAGCCTACCTAGTTTCTTTGAGATTCATTTCATTGAACTCAGTTTTAGTCCCTTGTTCATCCTGACTACTCTTGTCTGATTTATTTTAATTTCTTTGTTTACTGTTAAGGTAAGGACACAATACTTGCAGTAGAATATGAACAAGGGAGAATAAGGTGGAACCATTATTTTAGTGATGTTAAAGCAATACTTCTGTTTATTTAGCCTAAAATAGCTTTCTATACTGCAACTTCACATTATTAGCTCATCTTTGGTTTGCCATCAACCATTATTCCAAAGTTTTGTGTTCAGAAGTAATTTTTTCCATCTTATTTCCATCAATTTGATTTTGTACCCTTGGTGAAGAACTTAGGAATTTGTCTCTGTAATTTGCAACTTTGCACTCTTCTCTGTAATTTGCAACTATTTTCAATCAATATAATATTGAACCTTATTTTTGACTAACAGGATATTACATACTCTAACCAATTATGTGACATCTGCAAAGTTCTCTTCTAACCATCCTGCTTGATATTCAGTTGTGGGCATTAGAAACAAAATAAAATTTTACTTTTGTTGACTTCACAAACACATTTATTTAGTGTTTTTGTCAACAACAGAGAAAGAGATTTGCCGTTGCCTTTTGTCTAGAATTCTTTTTTTCAACTGGCCACCATCCTGGAAATATCCCATCTTGATACCAAACAGTTCACCACCACTTAGTTTCTGAACCCAGGTAAGATTAGCCATATGTGACACAAATATGTATTGCTTTGTTATGCTCAAGTTTCACTTATCAAATCAATTGTATCTATTCAAATAAGAATCAGTTTTCAGAAAAGACCAAAATGCATGTGGTTTGTCTCTGTGTTCTGTGTGCCTTTCTTTACCAAACATAAGTGTCAGATGCAAAAGATCAGGACCCCATATGAATTTCCAATTAAACTGATTTATTACTAATCATGCCTACGTACAGGAATCTATTCAACTAATGGTTACTACCAGGGGTGAAATGCTCCCGGTTCGGACGGATTGCCCAATCCGGTAGCGATGGAGGCGGGTGGTTTGGAGAACTGGTAGCAAAAATCCCTGCCCGCCCCCCCCGCCCCCGCCCAGCTGAACCGCGCAATCATCAGAGGCTTTTTAAAAAAAATTTCAAAGCATTTTTTCTACAACCTCTTTGGCAGAAAAAAATGCTTTTAAAAGTAAAAAGAAAAAGCCTCTGATGATCGCGCGGCTCAGCTGGGATTGTCAGAGGCTTTTAAAAGCCTCTGACAATCCCAGCTGAGTTGCCTGGTCGGCAGAGGCTTTTTTTCTTTTAAAAACATTTTTTCTACAATCTCTTCAGCTGAAGAGGTTGTAGAAAAAATGGTTTTAAAAATAAAAAAAAAAGTTGGCCATGCCCACCCAGTCACATTACCCTCCCCACCAAGCCACGCCCATAGAACCGGTAGTAACAAATTTTAGATTTCATCACTGGTTACTACTATCATGGCTCTAGATAAGTATCAATGGAATTCAATGGTCAGTTTATAATTACATAAGGACTCTAAGCTCATTCCTCTTTTGACTCCACTCCCAGGTTCTGTCACTACTTCTCCCATAATAAGTAAATACAAGATTATCACCTTGGCTAAAGAATGGAGAAAATAATTTGCTTCTAACAAAAAAAACCCCAATAATTCATAGTTCATACATAAAATGAAATTAAAATATATGGATAAGGCAACAATGTATGAGAAGGCTCTTGCAGTGGAGGAGGACATGGTGATAAAATAAACAGGACTTTCATCCCTATAGATATCATTAAAATATGGCTGAGCAGCTCATTACTGGCATTTGGTTTAAGATCTGTGAAAGAACTAACCCTGTCGGCATTGGTTTATTAAGAACATGGGTTGCATGTCATTCTTCTCTATCCTGCTTTGTTTAAACTGTGAAGAAGTTAACTTTCTGTAAGGAAAATAATACAGATACATGTAGAAGATAATGTGTTGGGTGGTGGATTTTCTGTGTCTCCTGTATTCCTCCCTTCACATTCCCTTCCAGTATGCAGTAAGAACAAGGCTATTTGCTGTGCTGCTTTGATAATCATATAGTAGCTCAAAGGAAAGGAAGGGATTCTAGAAATCATCCTTGGTTTTACTGTAGGCATCTTAGCATGGAATTGGCAAATAAAGTGGGAAAAGCTGGCATCTTTACCTACTGATGCTTTCAAGTACACAGACACTGGAGAAAAAGAGGAATGCATATGATGTTTCATCAACGGCAGCAGAAGGTAGGATGCAAGTAAAGAAAAGGGAAACAGAGCATAATAAGTTTAGCTCCAGGTAATAGTGAAGCTGCTGAGCAAAAAAATAAAACAAATTCTCTCAATAACTATTATCTATGTCTGCTGTTATGCAACCCAGGATTTATATATTCTCAAAAAAAAAAAAAAAATCCATTAGTCTTTTAAACAATCAAAACACAAATCTATTGCTTTATCAGAATACTATTAAAGCAATGTATGTATGTCTGACCCTTGCTTTTTATATCCACAGCCATATTAATGACAAGGCATTACATATTTTATGCACAGCCAATATTTTATTAGAAAAGACTGAAAATACTACCTTAAAATCTGAATGAATTTAAGCTTCATCCGCAGTTTGGGAGTGAAATGAAAGCAACATCATGAAAATATGTCCCTTATAAATGGTCAGTAGGGCATCTTCATGTTGCAGTTGGAGGAATATCAGTCTGAACCCCAAGGAAAACAAATGTGAGTTGCATTTTTTAAAAATTCATCATCAATTTCCTTTCTTCCCTTCATAATAGATCAATAGCTTACTTTATTTACTTATATCCTTTATTTACTTATATTGAATAGCTTACCTTATTTACTTATTTATATTGGATTTGATGACAGCTCAGTTGGGATAGCCACAATATGAAGCAAGCCAAGACTGTGGCTATCCCAAATGGACCTTCATCAAATCTAAAAAAACAGTCCCAGCAGGAGCTCTTCCATAACAGATGAAACAATGTTATCATTCCATATTTTGCAGAAATATCTGAAAACATCAGAAGGATTTTCAACCAACACAAAATACATGTACAATTTAAACACAAGAATACACTAAGGCAGGGGCTTCTCTCCCCATCTCCACCCCAGGATAAAACACCCAGACACAAACTGAGAATAGTGGTTTGTGCAGTAAATTTCAGTGAGACGTGTGCAGATCTGTACATTGGAGAAACAAAACAACCATTTCACAAATCCATGGCATAACACAGGAGAACAAACCCATCAGGACAAGATTCAACAGTTCATCTGCATTTGAAAGACAAAGTTTAGTCTTTTGAAGACAGCAAAGTCCACATGCTGGACAGAGCGTATCACTGGTTTGAAAGAAAGATAAAAAAGGCCATCTATATTAAAATTGAACAGGCCTCTGTCAACAGAGGGGGAGAGATATACCACCACCTATCTCCTGTTTACAATACAGTCTTTTCAGCAGTTCCAGGAAGACTCCACACCCATTTTCACTCTAATTCAGGTGACCTGAGGTACAAGGAGCCTCAAAGACTCTCAGAGTTAATGACAACTGCTAAGAACCAGATGACTACAAGGAATATAAATCCATCCATTCCCCAGCATTCAGTCAGAATTGAGGATGTTTCTTGGATGAGAAGTGAAATGTCTTAAAGGAAAAAACAAAGAAAGTCCAGTTGCCTTTTGAGAAAGCACTTTGGGAACAACTCTCGTTCATTTATTATTTAGGATTTCAAGCTCTATATATTATCCAATTGTTAAATAAAATGTTAAATAAAATCTGCTTTCCTGAAGATCAAGATTAATGACTGACTTATATTAACTTTTTCCACCATTGAGGAATGGATGTATTTTGGTAGTCTGAATAATTCAGGTTACTATTGTAAAAGTGAAAGTTTTAGGCCATTTTTATTTTTTAAAAAACCCTGCTTCTACAATAGAAACAGTTACTATTAGTAGTAACTTATGACAAATGCCTTGTTTGTCAAATTATTTCTAACATATTCCAATATACATTAAATGTTCAATCACCTGAATTCATCCCTATCTCCCCATTTCTCCATTCTGAGCATTTTATGGAGAAACAAAAGCTTATCGTAATCTTTTTTCCCCTCTCTGCATTCAAGGTTCAGCTTTTCTCAATAGTCAGACTTGCAAACTGCATAACAAGCATTCCTTCAAAGGGATTAGGTCTATATGAATCACCCCTATTTTGATTTAGATTGGAGATCTGAGATTCAAAAGGCCCAGGATTTGACTCAAACTCATGATTCAAGGGCAAACCTATTTCATTCAAGCACCTTCAAGATTCAATTTTAAAGAAAGAATTATCCAAAATCTATAATGGGGAAGCTTCAAAATGCCTGAAGTACCTTCATTTTTCTTATAGAATGAAATGTGTTTCATCTGGGGCTGATAAAAATAGCAGAGATGGTAGACCCTATAGAAGACATTCACCCTACTAACTTTCAGCTACATAACTTCAAGGTTTTCATCACAATAAAATTTTGAAGTGTTACTCTTAAGGCTGAATTTGTATGAATAAGAAAAGCAAAAAGCATATCAAGAAAGTTAGCTGAAACAATGACCATGAATTAAAATAAAAATAGCATAAGTTTTATTTTCCCATGTGCTTTTTGGGTTGTCGGATATGCATGACAGCAAATCATGTCCGCTGATATACTAAATAGACTGGTGTAAATATGCTGCCTCCCATCACTGCTTTTTCTTAGATGCCGGGATGTCAAACTTGGTTTCATTGCGGGCCAGATTAGCATTGTGGTTGTCCTCTGAAGGCCGGGGGAGGGGTATGGCCAGGGTGGTTGTGGCTGATTGGGCGTGGCCAGCTCAACAATGTGAGAGGCGCTTGTGTGGGCTGGGTAAGGTTGAAGATGGAATTCAGAGGTCTCTGGTGGGTGGTGTGGTGGATGGGACGCTCATCTCACGGGATGAGGTGAGGCGAAGCAGAGGGCGGGGGAGCTGCAGCCAGAAACCATTGGTCTCAGCTGGCACACTCTGCAGTTATGGAGCCCAGTGCCACCACCAGGTTGGCCATCCAAGCAGCAGGCATATGTGAGAAGGGGATGCACATAATGCAGACCTGTTATGGTCCACCGATGCCCAGCAGAGCTGGCAGCAGAATCATTCAGTGAGGAGGTTGGGGAGGAACTTGGGCCAGTCCTGGCGGCTGGGGAAAGTTCTGATGAGGGCTTTGCATTGGAAGCAGAGAGGGGGCCAAGGCTATCTGATAGTTATGTGCAGTCTCCGGAGTCTGACAGCAGCGAGGCAGAAGAACAGCAGCAAATGGGGGCAAGGCATGTGATCCTTGCTGGGCCTGAGAGGCCATGGTGCCAATGGTGATCTGGCTCACAGTTGCTACCTTTTGCCTGCTGGGCCTGAACATGCTCTACCACCTCTACTCGGCCTTTCTAGTTTTCTGCTTTGCCTCCTTCGTGGTGGGTGGGCCTGGTACTCCAGGTGGCGATGGCAGTGGCCTAATGGCCCTGCATGAGCTGCTGGCAACCTCGGTGTTAGCAGTGCCCCACAGCAGTGTGTCAATTGCATGAGGGGAACGCACTCCACTCATGGGCCAAGGGTAAGACCCACAAGGGGGCTGAGGAGATGATCAGCAGTGACCAGCAACAGCTGCCCCACCCCCTAATCAGCCATGTGTATTGGCCCATGGTGGTGGCATTAGCCAGTTGCAGAGGCACAGGGGGAGGCAGCAGTCAGGAGCAGGCATGTCCGGTAGTCTGCATCATGTGCCTCCCCCCAGACTTTGCCTGCTGCTGGTGCTGCTGCCACCATACCTGCTTCTTGGAGGGAGTGGAGCTTGCTGTAGAGCTGTTGTTGCTGGATACTTCAGCCACCTGCATGCACACACACACACACATGTGAAAGGCCAGCAAGTGGGGCATGGAGGTGCTGATGCAGGTGTGGCACTGATCTGCAACCTGGTGGTGTCCATCCAGGCCAGACCGCAGCCAGCCATGGGACCACCTTATCTCTGCCCCCTGGGTGTGTACATAGGAGGCAGAAAGTGCATGACTGCTGGCATTCTGGGTGAAAGGAAAGTGCTCAGAATGCAGTTCCCAGGGATGCCAGGCCCTGTGCATTCCCTGCCTCCTGTATGCATGCACAAGGGGTGAGGCCGAGGCTGTGCTGCAGATCTAAGGCTGGTTGCGGTCTGGCCTGGATGGGTGCTACCAGATTGCAGATCAGCGCCCAGTTTGGGCCAGGTCGAGGTCACAACAGACAACAGACAACAGTCCTTTGCTGTTTCTCGGGTGGCCCTGTGGGCCAGATCTTACTACCTTGTGAGTCAGATCTAACCAACTCATGGGCTGGATCTAACCACCTCGTGAGCTAGATCTAACCACCTAACCAGATCCAGCCCACAGGCCTTGAGTTTGACATCCCTGCATTAAAGTAACTCTAAATATGTGAGACGCTTGGCCCACATGTAAATCTCTGCCACTTGCCTGTTTCTTGAAGCAGAAAACATTTGGAGCAAAAGCTGTAATTGTTATTGTGGTATTCATTCAGATTTTCAAGAAACTTTATCCTACCCCAATTACAAAGAATAGAATAGTAAGAACTGATCTGAGAGTACATATTGGTCTTTTTGGCCTTGAGCTCATTTTCTCAGTGTTAAGAGCTGAGTTGTATTCCTATTTTCATTAACAGATAAAGGACAGAAATGTAGTCTTCCAGTGGCATAAATGAAAATGAAGTTAAGATCTGTAGTTGGTTAAAAAGGTAGAGAGTTAAAAAGTGAGAGGTCCTTGGTTTTTCTGATGTATTCATTAGTAGCCTTCTTCTTGACTTCAGTGTGTTTGATATTATCAACTGGAAAGATGCCAGGGTCTTAATCCTGGCTCTTGATATTATTTCACTTGGCTGTTTTTCCTCTGTTGATGGTAAAGGTGGCATATTTGTCTAGTTGAAATTCCATTGCAATATTTGCAATATTCAGGCAGTGTTGAGCAGTGTTAAGCAGTGGTTCTATTTCAGAATAACTGAAATGCTGTTTTTCCATACAACTGCAGATCATTGATATAGTGCATTGGGTTCCTGACAGATGTTTTTGATGTTTGAGAGCCATGACCTGATTCATTCAGTACTATTGACAGAAGTATCAATGAAATGAGAAATAACAGTGGTGAAAGCGAGTCATCTTGAAAGATCCCTTACTTGATGTTAATCCCTCCCAGTATATCACCATCGACCAGAATCCATGTCTTCCATTGTGCCATTTATCTTTGCATAACACTTCTGATGCTTCTACTGTTGTTTCTATGTGCTTGATTATCCAGTCATATGGTAAGGAATCAAATGTCTTCTTGTAATCAATGCAAGCTACATTTAAGTTGAACTTCTAAAATCAGCTGTCAATTAGGAGTTGATCCTTTATCTACTTGGATGGTTTCCTTTCTGCTCAGAGTAAAGACCTTATTTTCAGATAGGTGCTGTTGGATTACATTAGTTATCACACCATTTAGCAATTTGAAAGTTATTGTTATGCAAGTACTTGCCTGGTATTGCCAGTATATTTCATTATCAGGTAGATTTTGCCAGATGTTAACCAATCTTCAATTTCATCTCCTTGTAATATATTATTATACTGTTTGGCAATGTGTCATATGTTTCAACCAAATTCCTGCTGTTTCTTCACCTGGTGCTGACCAATTCATGATCTTCTTTGCCCTTTTCTGCATCATTTCTGCTGTTATTATTAGTCATTTCATTTCAGTTTTTCTTTTTCTTTTTTGTTTCTTAATCTCCTTTATCCTAGATGCATTCTTGTTATATTTTTTCAGATTGTCCTATGGTTCTTATATAAACTGCACCGTTTCTTCTTTGTCAGGTGCTAGCTGGTTCATTGCAACGTCTCTGTTGATGGATTGATAGAAATGTTTCTGACTTGACTGAATTTGGAGATTTTGTCTCTGGTGTGCAATTTGAGCTTTATATCTGCTGATCTCCATCTCTTCCTCCTTATCATATGAATAATGACTTCCGTGAAAATTTAGCCTTTATTCACCTTTATACAGATAAGGACATTGTTAATTCTATAATCAGACAGTTGGGTATGATGAAAGCCATATTTCAATTTGCTCAAAAGTGTTTATTTCTAGCAGACTGTATTGGGTGTGTTTGGTTCTTTTTCTTTGTGTGTGAAATCATGCCTTACTACAGTAAAAAAAATAAATAAATAAGACTAAACATTTATAAAATCAAAATGATATCTAAGTGGCATCTGTCTCCCTCCGGATTATAACCTGAGCATTATAATGGGGTGGGGTAAGCATCATGCTGCCAGACTCTCTTTTACTTCTCACCCTATAGAAAAGAAGCAGAAAGCTACCTGAGAAAAAGATAAAACATAAAAAGTAAATTGAGCATAAAAAGAATAGAATATGCAGAGATATACTTGTACTGAAATGATTTATAACTGGAAATATTCTACAAATGACATTGAGAAGGTAAGGTAAATTCTGATCATTACTATAAACATCAAATTTGTTGGCTCTTTTAAGAATAACATATAAGACTAAACAAACAGCTGTTTTCGCATACAGAGAAATACTTTTGTATTTTTTTATTGCTAATCTTAAGGTTCTTGATGTAGAATTGTTTCAGAACTACATCATTTAGGATATAGAAGTTAAGCAACAGCTTTGCCCTGCAGTACTCAATAAAGAACACACAATAAAGCTTTCATCAAAGGAAGCAACATTTAAAATGAAGGTTTGTTTTAAAAGAAACTACTAAAAATACAGGTTAAACATTAAAAACAAAGACAAAAAAGTTAGTATGTGAAGAATGTGACTCATAAGTTTCTTCTTAAAATTGTAATTGAACTACTCAGCTTCTGTTTTCCACTGAGATTAAAATGGCTCCCTGCGATTTAAGCATGTGAGACTAATAATAGCATCCATCCCCATAACCATACTATTAAGGCAGAAGATGACAGCAGGAGCAAGCGAAGAAGAAACAATAATATACATAAATTATCCAGCATTATGAAAAGGAGAAAAATGTATTGTTGAGTCCAAATATAACTATTTACTATTCAAAAAGCTTCCAGAATGTGAAAGGCATTGCTGGGAAACAACTCTGAAGATAAAAAAATACAAATAATAAAATTGAAAATTTAATAAAGAATTTAAGTTTCATTCATGCATATGACTAGTTAGGAGTGACAGAGATTGTCTCAGAATAAAATACATAGGATTGCCCTGTTAATAAGATTACTGTAGTATCTGTAATTATTGCCAATGAGATAATTACAACAAAATCTATAGTTACTCAGATTTCCCTAAAGAATTTAAACAGTAATGGAACCATAAAACACAATTCTTAAAGCGTGTAGTTGGGTGGAAAGGTAAATAAAAGCCGCATGCTGTGATGTACAAAGGGTGGGGTGGGGGATGTAGAGCATGATTAATGTACAGTATAAGGATTGTACAAAAAGTGCCCCAAATCCTTTGTGGCTGAATCTCCAGGTCTGGAAGGAACCCAACCTGCCTTGTGATAATCCATTCTCTCTCATTTCAGATTCAGGAGCATGAATAAGGAAAAAAAGTCCAGTCATTAGCATTAAAAACAACATTTCCCTCATGAATTTTGTGTTCTTTATTTCGTCTATTCTTCAGTGAGACAGTTGTCAGACCATAGACCCTTTATGTTTCTAGACGGACAGCTCTATATAGGTATGCTTAGCCAAATAATTTTTTACAAGCAAAATTACCACATAATTATGAAAGACAATTAGCTCCACATGTCTAAAGACATCTGATTCTATATGTAGTGTGAGTTTCTTCTCTGCATAATCCTATCTGGACACTTTCCTCATTGCCCCTTTTGCCTTGGAAGACTCCAGTGTTATTTGCCAGAAGCAGGTATGATTCACTCTTATTATCCTCTAAGCTTTCCCCAACCAGAATTAGGGTAACCGATAGTGATTTCAAACAAGTAAAAGATATATAATCCTGTCAAAGTCCTCAAATATATTTTATTTTCTCTTCTGGGGAACATAGGTGTTCTGTATGCAATACAATCACTCTAAGATGGATCCTGGAAGCAGAATTTCATGAAGGATTTTAAATCTGATACAGAGGGATATAGAATAGTATTTCTCAATCTCAGGAATTTTTAAGATGTGTGGATCAATAGAATGCTTGTAGCTCAGGATTGAACTGTGGGGTCTTTGAGCGGTTTCTGAGCTTGGTTATTTTCTTGCAGATGTTTCATTACCAAACTAGGTAACATCATTAGTGCTAGTGGAGTTGTGGGGAATTTCACCTCCCAGAATTCCCATGATGGGTGGTCAACAGCATGGGAATTCTGAGAGCTGAATTTCACACATTTTAAACTTGCTGAGTTTGAGAAATGCTGTTAAAGAATGTCTATTACAAAACATATCTTCACTGTTTTATCTTAGCAATGGCAGTTATTTTTTTCAAATTATGTTTTAATTATTGCTGCTGTTTAATTGTCTTAAGTATTTTAAAATGGAGACAAAAGCGAAACTGTACTAAATGTATTGATAAAATGTTATCTAAATGTGCACATATATCATTTATAAAAGTATAAGAGCTTAAGTAGTAAGACCTAGCAAGTATATAATAAGGCAAAGACAAATGTTTATTTTGAATAATTTACGCCCAGTAATATTCAAAATACATTAATATAAAAGATAATGCTTACAATGAAAAATATCTTTAAATGACTGTGTATATTTAGTCCTATGGGGCTTGAATGGGATTTCATGATCCATTCAAGACTAGTGTGCAACCTGGGTGTGTCCTGGACTCACAGCTACCATTCATTGAGCAGTTTGCAGCTATAGCCAAGAGAGTTCATGTTCCCTTCTTAACCAGAGGTCATTCAGACTGGTCACCTCATGAAGGAACTTATGCAATGCATTAAAGACTATCCAGATGCCACAGCTGATTCAAAATGGACTGCAAGCAAAAAATGGAAACTTCTTATTTCCATGTATCATTACTGCTTTGTTAACTAGATTGGTTGCCAGTCAGCCTCTAGGGGCATTTCAAGGTGCTGGTTGTTACCTATAAAGCTCTTAATTGCATAAGGCCTGTTACAATTTGAGAGTCCTCATGAACTCACAGCTTCTGCCATGCTGCCTCCTGAGGAGCAGGTGGCAGCTATGGCTAGGATGTGTTTTTCTCAGATATGTATTGTGTGCCAATTCCCCTATTCTGGATGGGAGGTCTTGTTCACAATCACTGATTCCTTCATCACTTCTCAATTGGACTATTGGCGGTATCCTTAAGGACATCCCAGTAAATTACAAGTAATCCATAATACAGCAGTGTTGTACTAGGCACCTCTTGGTTTACTCATATTACACCATTGCTGTGTGAATTGCACTGGCAACTCAAGGTGTTGGTTATCACTTTTAAAGCTTTTCATGGCATGGAGTCAGGTTATGTGTAGGACACCCTGTTTCAGTGGGTACCTGTCCATAAATATGCCAGATAGAGTGGGCATACTCCAGGTCCTGTCCTTCAAATGTTGCCACCTAGCAGGATGAAGGAAGCATGGTGTTTCCATAGGAGCCCTTGTCCTGTGGAATAACCTCCCTCTTAAGATGTGTCAGACTTCCACCCACTTTAGCGATCTGCAAAATAATTAAGAACTTACTTTTCCTGCAGGCACTGGGATAGCAAGGGTGTGGATAGTATAGGTAATGAATGCAAATATTGGATTGGACACCCGGTTTTATTGTTCATTGCATTGCTTAATGTTATGTCTCACAAGATGACAACCATATGAATATTTTAATATAAATGTTTTTTTTAGTTTTGTTCTATACCATTCACTAATAATAGAAGCAAATGGTCGGAAGCAGACTTAAAACAAGGCTTTCTGCTGCCTCAAATTCTGAAATTGCTATCTATTAGTAATCTTTTCTCAAATTTTGGTAATATTTAGACAGTTTCTACTCTTCAGTGATGAATATTTATAACAATGGGACAAATCATTATTTTGTTTTTATATGGAATGGAATTCTCACATTGTCACAACAGAAAAAGTTTCATGCTTTAACTATACAGCCACTCCCACAACTCTCATTATAGATGTTGGAACATCAGCAAATTTATTAGAGAATTAATTTCCAGAAAGCTGCATAAAACCTCTAGTATAAAATTATGTTCATAAGAGAAAATGAATGGTTCAGGCAGATAAAAATCTGCAGGAAATAATGGAAAAATGCTTAAAAGCAACTAGGAATAAGTTCAGTTTTGCTCCCGTTTAGAGCCATATAGAATTCTCAGGATCAGAGTGGAAAGTAGAATAAGAACAGCGACAGAATAAACAGTGAAGTGAAGAAGCCAAATCTGTTCCAAATGTCTAACATTTCTGGGAAAAATATATGTGCCCTTTAAAAGTTACAGTTATGATATTTTTCTGAAAAACCTATCTTCCCTGAACATTCTCATAGGTAGCAATAAGGATTAGGGTGCATGCCAAAGAGAACAGCCAAAGTCAAAGTAGATTTTGGCTAGCACTGAGAGACTAGATGGAGGTGTAGCAGACATTTCTTCTTTTATTCATACATGCATAGATACAATTTTCACCAAACCCATAACTACGTATTATATAATAACACTCAAACATCAGACACATAGACAATTAACTGTACAACACCCACACTCCCAATTACGCATTTTTGTTTAGAAAAAAAAATCATTGATTCAGTAGATTTCTATGAAAACAAATTTTCATAAAGGTTATGAAAGGTTAGAGCTCATGTGCAGGAAGAACTGCATATGTGATTTTGCCCCTCTATTGCCAATACAGGTTTTCCAATGAAAAACAGTTTGGAAGAAATAATTTAGGGAATTACAGCTGGGGGTAAACGGTTAATCTTTGCCTTCATCCGCCTCCCCAAAAATTAAACTTTGACCATTGACTTTTATTGGGAAATTAGTTGTCTCTCCTGAATGTATCAAAATCTGTTGGTGGAACTTTCATATTTGGTTAGCAAATTTTATCTCCAAATTAAAAAAAAATCTAGTCTTCAAATTAATCCTTTTTTTTTTTTTTTTGGCAGGAGAGGCAAGCTTTAATTGAGACTTATTACTAGATCACCCAAAGATTATAAAATAGAACATTTAGAATGCTAAATAGAATACAGTATGACTGACTAATGCTTACAAGTAAAGGTAGTTACTTTAGTAAAAACATGTAGGATTCCAAATTATATTGACTGGCTAAAAAGTTGGAACAAAATTGTCCATAATTATGTACTGGAATAAATGAAAAATCTCTGCAAATAGTACTATACATACAAATCTAGGTTATGGAACACCTGTCTTAGCAGATGTTGCATAATGCCTGTAAAATAGAGCAATGGATAATCCCCTGAAAATATCCAGAGGTGGGAAACAAATATTAGATGTGGGCTTGGAAACTAAATCATTATGAAGAGTGCCAAAATATTTGAAAAATCTGATACCTAATTGGAATAAATTTATGCTCTGTTGTTCCAGATGACAGTTTCCAAATAAAAAAATCCCAAATTATTTTTAAAATGGCATCAATTAAAGAGGCTTTCATGCAGAATGGATGGTAAAATATTCTGTGGATAGCTTAATTCCTGATGCATCTCAGAGAAGCAGAGAAATCATAGCTTAGATAATGGTAACATTAATGAAATTGTTTAATCAAGTCTACCTTCAGCTGTACAGGATCAAAAGGAAATGGGATATAGAATGCTAAATTGTAGAAAATGCATGTAATTTTTAATGTCTTTTCTATTTTTTTTTCTTCCTCCTAAGTAGCAAAATGTATATTTTATTGGTTATCTTGTTTTTTGTTACCCAGACTTTCTTTTTTTGGTCTGCCTTTTTTAAATTTTCAGTCTTCCTGACTTTTGTATTCATGTTTCTTGTCAAGAATCAAAAACATATAAGTAGGCAAGCAATTTTCTATAAGGGTACTGACATGTTATTCTGTGACTTTAAATATTATAGTTTATTAATTCAGGATGAATTTACTTACATAATTGATTTCACCCACTTGCTCTAGAGAAGCCTAGCGTAGTTAGATCTCCAGATAATTTACAGTAATTCCATTTAAAAAGTCAGGAGAGTCTATATTATAAATTGGCACCAGATTAATTTTATAAATATACCTACCATTTATGGAATGAGACACAGTCTAAGACTTTAAACCAATGGATATTTATTGATAAATAACTGCCACCTTAATATTCTGAATAACATGAATAAATTCATATTAGAAACTAAGCAGTTTGTTTAACTTTGACTATTGTATATTTAATTGTAATATCCAACTAATCTAGTAGAAAGGTTAAAAGATATTTAAACAAGTACATGTGTGAAAGACTATTTGTTTCTGTATACATTCATGCTGCATATATATCCCCAGGAAGCAGATGAAGAAAGGAAAAAGTTGCCAACTTTCTACATGTTATTTGGCAGATGGTGACTCTTGCAAATGCCTTTTGGGATCTCATTTGCACAAAAGTTTTTCCAAAGAAAGCACATGAGGTGTTAGAAGGCTCCACACAGAGTGGGTGTCATAACTGAAGATATTCCAATTTATAGTGCTATAAAAAGCAGCACGATA